TAAGTTCCTGTTTTTCATTTTTTTTCCATAATACCTTTGTCAAATTTGGACCCAAAAATACAAATTAGGGTTTTATTTTAGTAATGTGATAACAGTCCCATTTCTGCTTTTAAGCTACTTCCCATACCCCTTTTCTTCTTCCTAATTTCATTGATAGTAACAATAAAAGATGGAAAGCTCTGGGAGCAATCTCAGTAGTTTTTGTAAATGCTGTGAAGTGGTTCTGGTTTAGATGATACCATAATAAAGGCCCCATAGGTTCGAGGCAGTGCAGTCCTTTGGCAGGAGGTCCTGACAGTGTATTAGTTCAGCTTTCCCTTTGTAACCATTCTGATTCTGCAAGAACGTGTCAATGTGTCGTGGATCTCAGACTAATTAGTTTTGAAATGGAGTTTTGATTGAACTCTTCAAATCGATGCTGCTGCAAAATTTGTTTCTCGGGCTTCCTATTAAAAGCCATCTTAAGGGGCAGTTTTACTACTCTCCCTGTCGTTCAGTCGATACATTTAATAACAACTTACAGGCTATTTTCAATAAAGTGGCGACAGCAAATTAGTAGTTTGAACATGACAAGCCTCCTCTGCAACCTCAGATTCTGAAAATTCAAAGCAATTATTTTTATACAGAGGCATGCTGCAATCATTCAGATTATGGGTATTCTGTAGTAACACGTCTCCTTGGTTGACACAAACAGAATTTTATGACTTTATTTGGATAGGAAGGAAATGCAAATATTAATATTTATTATGACACCAATACATTAATTTGTAAATCCTATTACTCTGTTTTTACATCATGTAGGAAAGTGGGTCTGTGACCCTGCCAACTAGTTCAGGTTCCCTTTTCACTATGAAATGATTTTGGTAGTCTTCTTTTTTATAAATATTTGTGGATATTAAAAGGAGAATGCCAAAAACAAATAAAGCTTTTCTAATTCTTGCTAACCTGTCCTGTGAAAGTGGAAGTTCAATATTCATTTATGTATTATATCTTGACTCAGTGTGTTGTGCCTTTAAATGGATTTGAAGAATTATGTATATATTTTTTTCTTCACTACTCTTCTGCCTAACACACACACACTTCCCCCTCCCTTCCCCCCCAACCCCATGGCAGATGTTGTGGTCTCATTTGATTGCATAGGAAAACTGCAGTGATACAGCAAACACCCAGAGAGATATGATGACAAATGGGTCCAGATCCCGGTAAATTACTTTCTGCTCAAATCGAAATTTCATTCAGTTTGTTGCTAGCAGAGATGAAGTAATCTAAATTGTGGACTCAGGAGCAGATAGAGGGAAGTTGGAGCAAGCATTTCATTATCGAGAGAGAGAGAAGGTTAGGATGAAAGAGATGAGCAGAGGCAAATCTAAAGTGTTGACACCATGATTGAAAAGGTTAACCCATACACATTATATATCAACCTGGATAGCAGAGAGTTTCTAATGGAAACTCTGCACTGATGGAGGTTTACTGGAGTTTCAATACACTGAGCATGATGTCTTCTTAGATATACAATCAAATCCTCTTAACCCTTTTGATGACTCATATCTCAAGATATGATTAAAGTACAAAAGAGTTCTTCATATAATTTCAAGGACACAATGCATTTAAACTCCAGTCATGAATTGTATCTTTTTTTTTCTTCTGATGAACCCAGTAATCTGATAAAATGTGTGTAGTACAGAATTGTTTTGTATTTGCTTGAGGTGCAAGTCAATATTTTTGATTAAATTCTGTGCATCCCTGTCTCTGAGGTAGGGTGAAGCTTCCGGTTATACAGAAATGTATCTTGCACATTACAGTATGTAAACAAGTTGAAATACGGGGGCAGAAGTCTAAAATAGTTATATAATATCTTGTCATGTTGATGCACAAAACCAATATTCAGAGCCTCTTGTGTATTAAATCATTCATGATCATCACCCTTATTTCAGGTTATTTGGAAATAGTGGTGCTTGCAGTGCTTGTGGACAGTCAATTCCTGCTAGTGAGCTGGTCATGAGGGCACAAGGCAACGTCTATCATCTTAAGGTAGGTCTCTTCTCCTGTCTGTTGACTTTGTTAATAGTACTGCTTCACTGTGTGCTTCTTACATGGTATAACTTCTGCATCCCTCATATATTCCTAAAAGTGCAGGGCAATAATTACTAATAAGAGTGTGTGTTCTAAAACTTCCCATAGTGCATAGCGTTGTCCTCTAATAATCAGTAAAACTACACTTGAGTAACAGCAGGTAAGACCAACACCATATTTGGTGATACTAGAAACTAAGCAGCTTCAGACCTCATGCTTTACTGATAAATCTCTCAAGAATAACACTTAAACCTGCAGCATTTTTAATTGGTGCCAGTTTCATTTGCTGTGTCTTTCCTTTTCAGTGTTTTACATGCTCTACCTGCCGGAATCGCCTGGTCCCAGGAGACCGGTTTCACTACATCAATGGCAGTTTATTTTGTGAACATGATAGACCTACAGCTCTCATCAATGGCCATTTGAATTCACTTCAGAGCAATCCACTACTGCCAGACCAGAAGGTGAATACTCAGCAATTACTAATAAGCTTTATTAGAGTTAAATTAAGATCAATTTCTTTTCAACCTAATAGTGGACACTGTTCTCCCTCTCTTCTTCTCTCCTCTCCCCCCCCCCCCCCCCCCAAAACCACACACACAAAGGGGCCTTTGAATAACTGAATTTAGTTATAAGACTTTTTGGAGAAATATAAACCCTTAAATATGAAAGTTGTATTAATTGAGTTCAGTTTATTCAGATTTGGGTATTTCTAGCTGTATAGCTATTGAGCTAGTAACGTATAATGGGCTATGGGGAGCAAACCCTAATATAAACTCTCTTGAAGAGAAGCATTTCCTTTTAAAATGTTGAGATTAAGGATTGCAAGGGAGCAGGTTACAGTGGGAGGAAAATTAGATCCTTTAATTATGGTAACAAATGTCTTATGAAGAAAAGGTTCCTGAATTAGTAGAAACTAGGGCACATACCGTTTCAGACTAACATATTACACTTAGTATGTTTCCTAAACTAATATTCAAAAACTGTGGTATCCTCAGAAAAGTAGTCTGAATGTTTTACATGTTATAAAATCAAAGTTTTATTCTCTCATCACTCCATAACACTAACATCTCCAGTAGAGATTGTGTATCCCTGTGCGTGACAGCTCTTGGTCCATAGTTGCAAGTAAATTGAGTATACACATGTAGTAGCAGAGGGAAAAATTTGTATCAACAGTTGTCCTGTAGTTCTAGAACTGGATAGTCTTAGATCTATTTTCATCTCCTTAATAAGTCCTATGGCTATGCAAGTGAGTGCATTTTGATACTGCTGTGCCTAATTTGTAACAATTACTGTCAACCTTCAGTTAAGAGACTGTTCATTCCACACTGGTCCAGAAAAGAGTGAATGTATGACTCTTGCACATAATTTTATTCACCTCATATTTCATACTGATTATGTATTGATGACATTGATTCATTTACTCTTTACAGCGCCACTTGCATGGATATTAAATCTTATTGACCACAGATGAATTTTAATTTCAGATTGGTGATAGATTTTTCCATCAGCTCTGATAGTATATTTGACTTTTTCATCATTAACCCAGGCAATCACACAGCACTGAGTTATTGCACTGAAACAAAAAGTGCACACTTCAGTTGGTAATTCTTTATAGATTTACAATAGGAACTTCATTAATGTCTGTAAGGATCACAAAAAATAACATTTATCTGCAAACAGGAATTCAGAAGATTAAAAAATAGCTGGGGAAAATGCTAGGCTTTTTATGTATTCTGTAACATACAAAAGAATTTTAAATTACTTATTTCTTTAGTGGGTAAATTTGTACAGGAAAACATGAACTGGTTTCTAATTTTGACCAGTTTTGTGTTGCATCGCTACATTACTATAGACTTGTTTGTCTTTTACTCTGCACAAATGTAACTGAATAATTTTAAGTATATTTCCAGTCTCTTAGAAAGTGAACTGTAATTACATCAAAATATGAACACTTATTTACTTAATTTGTCTATCAGAGTAACTGGATTGAATACTGAGTCTTAATTACTTGTTCTGCATAACTATTTAGGAGTGATGAAGAATATGAGGTCTGTTCAAGGAAGTACAAATGCATTTAAAGATTCATAGATCTATACTACTGTGTATTTTAATGAAACAAATCTATAATACAGACTAGCTAGCAATGAATCTGTTAAATGAACAGTTGCAGAGAACCTATTTCAAAATATAGGTAAAACCATTCATCTTTATATATAGTAGTAAAAAGTTTGCCATTCTGAGAAAATAAGTGCTTTATTCACTTGCCTTGTGTGGAGGTAAAGTTTATTGCAACTTCAGATAGGTGTCTAAATATTCACTTAGTTTTATCAGTGTCTTGCTATGCTTTAGCAAAACAAAAACGATTTAGTTACAAAAATATCAGTAGACACAGTGAGGAAAAGAGAAGTAAAACTGGCTTGTGTAGCTTGCAAAATTGCAGCTATCCTGCTAGGAGCTAAATGCAGAGGAAGCATTTAATAAGAACAGGGCCTCATTATCACTATCATTGGCTATTAACTACATTGCTACAGTATATGATGAGGCAGACAGAGGTGTTAAGGAGAAAATTGGAGAGAGAAATCTCACAATTAGTGTATTTTAGGAATAATTTCTTTATACCCACTTTCACAGGGGGAATTGGGGAGTAATGTGAACTTTGAAAACTGAAATCTATGTGAGGAAATGAGCTGGGGTCTGTCTGACTTCTAGTCTTGGAAACTAAAGAGGAAGGTGCCAAAAAAGTAATGTTTCTTTAAAATGCATAAAACAATATAAGAATGTACATATTAGAAGTACTTTCCAGAGAGCTATGTTATGGGCTACTGAGTAAAAACGTACTTCCAATTTGACAGCATTAGCTGAAATAGATACGATACCCAGTATTAAACGTTACAGACCAATCAATCTTCAGGTTTTTTGCTCTTTCCCTAAAGATTATGAGCAAAGTAGAATATAGCACAGCTATTCATAGCTAACTAGCTATTAAGAGGCCAAGGACAGTTTAATACAAGTATGAGGTTCTTGGTACTGTGACTTATTTTTGTTTTGCACACGTATGAAGCCATATTTGACAACTATGGAGTCAACTTATTACAGTCTTAGTCAATATAGGTCCCAAATGGAAGCTAGAGTTTATACTAGTGATTGGCACAAGTCTGAGTTAAATAGCCCAATTCTACTTAAAAGGTTGCTTTTTTACATAAAAATTACGTGCAATGATATTGACTCTTCCTGCCTTTCACCTTCTTAAGCTATGTTCAAAGGCTTTTAGCTATAACTTTTCATTATTTGCTGTGTATTTTGAAAAAATAAATTCAAGTATTTAAACTGTGTGCTGTTTACAAGCACAATGCAAAGCCCTAGAGTGCCAGGACATAAGGTCCTGGGTGCCACATTATTTAAAGGAGGGGGTGCTGTCCACTGCAGAGAACATAGTCTGCACCTAATTCACTATTTCTGGAAGTCATAGTGTTTTTTTTTTTTTTACTAGTTCTTGTTTGTTACAGCATTTCCATTTTCCAAAAAGTGGTGTAAGTTTTTTCCACCCATGGGCAATGTTTGGCGTGTTCACTTATGTTCAGCTCCTAAACTTTTAAATAAAGTATGAGTTAGATTACGTCTTGCTATTCTATTTCTTGGAAAAGATCTTTTTAAAAAAAGAAAATCTTCATTTACATATCACTCAACGATTCCCTTGTAGTTACATAATTGGTGTTGTCTGTGTCCGTAGTAGAGGCTATTTGATGCTCATTTATTAAATATGCTTGCTGGCTGCTCTCTAATCTTTGTTCTGGACAGACAAATTACCTTTCTCACACTGAGCTTCAGCTCTCGGGAATTAAACCTCCAAGCCTCCTCCACTTTAATTAGCTTGAAAGTGGGGGGTTGCAGTTACTACTAGACCTCAGGCTTTTAGTAACTTAAAGGGTGAAAAGAACTTCCTGGGAAGCTCAAAATGTCATTTAAAAACCATAAAAATCTAATATATATTATTTCATTTTGGTAATTGCCAACAGATTGTATTTGAAGACTCTGGATGATCATTTGTACTTTATCTATGAAAGTTAGATTTCTCTGGAGCTAGGCACTTTTAATTATCACAATTCATTAACACATCAGTGTGGAAGACCGTTTGACTTCATATATTAAAATGTTTATGTAACATTAACTAACATCGCAGATGAGGAATTTTTAAAAGGAGGGGGGAAATCCCCAAATATCTATATTTAGCTCTTGTGCTATGCAGCATATTAACCAAAGCTGCCTTGGGAGGATATTGGCTGTATTTCTTACTTTCTTCACATGGTATTTCTTCCAATTATAAGATCATATTACTAGCTTCTTCAAAGGCCAGGCATACCATTTCATTTCTTTCAATAGGGGCCCAGAAAAACACCTTTTTTCACTGTACGATTTCCAACCTGAAACTTTCTGAAAGAACACTTATTGTTACTGTCTCTTCAAGTTTAAAAACTGCAGCAAATGTTTGTTTTAGTTCTTCAGCATCTGAACATTAGTGGCATGAATGACTAGTGTAGAAAGCCTTAATCAAGTCGCAGTTGGAAAGTGATCTGATAAGAGATTCATGAATAAAAGAGAAGACACAAGCAGTTATGTTAGTTTCATATCTCAAATTTAGCTTATTAGCTAAGATGCCCATTTTTTTTATTTCTTACAGGTCTGCTAAAAGGTCAGAGTAATGCAGAATGCGTGCCTTCATCTCAAATTTTGTTCATCACAGATGGATCCCATGTCTCCAGTAGACACGTCACCTTTGTAGCTAGCATCAGTGCCAGCTCCATGCCATTGCACCTTCTTTATTCTTGATTGCCCTTCCTACATTTATTGGTGTATTAAAATGACTGAATATGAACATTAAGGACTCCATGAACCTGGGCTAATGGGAGACTGTAGAGAAAATGAAAAAAGATCCACCGGAGGACATCTTTGGGGGCGGGGGTGGGGAAAATGTCTAAGGAAGCTGATTAAAAGCAGCATTTGAATCTGCGTTCTACACTCGTTAACAATTAGCAGGGCACTGGCCAGAGTTTGTACCCAGTGTTTTACCTTAACAACATTCTATTTGCTCTTTGTATATTTAAGTGTTGTAAGGAAACGTGTTTCAATCAAACTGAACATGAGATAAAGGAAAGATGTGGCTTTTGTGATAGAATATCACAAACACTTTTATTGTCTCTCTCTGTAAAATACAATGTATGTATGCATGTAAGTGTTTTTGTCCCCTACTGTTGCTACTTCCCATGGCGCCAAAAAAAAAAAAAAAGGCAGGCTCATAGCAGCTACTGTGTAGAAATTTTCACCTACTTCTAATTTGCTGAATGAAGAAAAATCTTTTATTTGTGATATTTTCAGAGACATTTGCTCTAGTACGGTGTATTTAAATAATAAAAACTTAAAACAAAAACACTTTATTGACTTTGGGTTTTAAAAGCTTTGCTTTGTTATACCACATTCTAAACTTTATGTAGCAGTTGCTTTAATTGTAAATAACTTTAAATCTAGTTTTCTTCTTAGTTTTATGCCAATAAGGCATTTGTCAAACTACTTAATCCTGTCACTTTTGGCAGCGGTGCAGAGCAATGCTCCAAAACTTTTTTGTTCAGAATATTAATTCTGATAACAGCAAGCCTATCCTTACAGTTCAGCCATGTTGCAATGAATCTTGGTATGTACAAAAGTAACCACGGTCTTCCTTCATCCAGTCCTCCTTCAGAAGGGAACACACATACATACATATATATAAAAAACGTTATAGGAAAAACTCGCAACAAAGGGGTATGTGTTCTCTGACCCAATTCTTGAATTGGGTATTCCTATAAGGAGGTTTAGTAGTACCTCTGAATCTTGGCTATAGGAGAATAAATCACACTGAACAGTGGTGGTCTTGAGGGAAGAAAATGCCCTTTCCTGGCCTTTTTGGTACTAACGTGATCTTAAATGTGATCTGTTCTTGATGATTTATTATTAATTATTTTTATTTTTAGTTTGAAAGAGAAGTAGGATTTCACCTAGTTTTTCCTTGAAATGCTAATTGGCTAACTATAGGGCATTCAGAAAAAACATTCCATGCTCTTGCTAGATGTGGGAAAAAATTATATTATGAACCTATGGACATAAGCTGTATGCCTTATACCGGGGAACAATGTTAAGTAGGCCTGGGAGATGCCTCTACTGCATTGCAACATTGTTAAACATTAGCAAAAGTCACTACTTTTTTCATAGGCTAACAAGCTTGAAGTATATAATATTTTCTATTCACATTTTTAATTGTGCTTTTAAAAAGGTATTTATTCATTCATCTTGCCTAGTTACAGAGCAGCCATGACACATTAAGTGTTTCTGGTCATGCTGATGGGAGACTTAAGGTTAAGTCCAGCTTTTTGTGTATCTAAACAACCAACAGCAAGCTTCTCTTTGCATCCTACTTCCTGGAACTTCTTTATATACAAAGTCTGCTAAATATCTGCTTTTAACACTTCAATGCTTGGAAAAATAAGACATTTCTTTGGGGGAGGAGAGACTGGTTTACCATATACTGTCAGGCACAAAAAACAAATGCGTGAGTGCATGAAGTGTGTGGTATTAAAAATTCTCTTATGGATAGTTTTCACGGCTTTGTTTTTAAAACATAATTACAGATTTTTAAGATGCTTCTCAGCTTTTTTTGATCCAGCATTAAATCTTTAGGTAGAGTTCTGCAAATTGTGCTGCTTTAATTTTTTTGCAAAGATGCTTTGAGACATACGAATATAGAATTCAAGTATTAGTGAGACTGTAGACATCTTTTATATTCTATCATTATAAGCACTCATGGTAGAGTGTTTAAATTGAACATGTACAGCTTTTTAGTTGTCCAATAACCTAGAAATGCTAAGAAGATGGTTAATAACTTAGTATGGCATTTAGTGATGTAGAGGTTGAAGTTCATTAAAGGCTTTAAATAAACTATTATATGACTGGTTTGTAAAGCACAGCTACCTATTTAATAGCAAGCTTTAAAAGCATTTCGTAAGTTGCAGACCTATAAGATTACAAATGTCACTCATGTTAGCATAATCCACATGCAAGTGGTGAAGCCTTTGCTTTGATGTGCTAAATTGGAGGAGGACTAATGGAGCTATGAATATACAATGGAACATATTTAAGTAGTATTCTTACTTTAGGTAAAACACTTTCTTGAAACCAGAGGCATTTCAAACAATAAAAATGGGCTTTAATGGGGATGCTAGGTGTGGATAGAAGGCTCCTGGAACCACTTAGATTTGTCCTTATGTGAGAAATAACTTGTGCTATTTTTTTTTCCCTCTTAAGGAGGCCTATAAGGAAAAACATGTACTTGTTCACCTTTTACCACATGTGTTTACTGCACTGATTCTGTGAAATATATGCTATTTGGTGTTCTGAAAAGCCATACAAATACAGTGTCATTTAGTAAGAGCTCCCACACTTTCAAAGATGAATGCTGTTTTAAAAAATGAAAATTACTAATCTGAAATCCTAGCGAACTGATAAAATGTTCTGTTTATATTGCATAAATGTCTCAATCATATAAATTGTCACTCTTCTTAATGAAACAATTTTGTAAAAAGATTGCTCCCTAAAAGGGTTTAATGTTTTTACCTATCCAGCTGTCTAGTTATGAGGTTTACTCATCCCAACAGGCACTGGGACATTAAGCCTTTCCAAACCAAATTCTGTTTGCCACAAGATACAGTCTTTCCAGTCTTTCATGATTTATCTTTAAATATTTAAACAGGTTATGTAGTATCTTATGAAATATAAAATGAGGCTGTCGCACCAGAATGAAGCCTCTGAAATTAAGTCACATATTAAGAATATTAACCACATTGAGTTTGTCTCCTGTTTGCCTTATTAGTTAACACTGATAAAATTTGCATCAACTAATTTTAGGTTGAATTTTAATTTGTTTTTAGTATTTAAATGCCAATATAGTATGAGTTCATATCCCTTGCTATTATGATTTAAAAAATTAGTTTCAAATTATATTACTCTCTCCTGCCCAAGAATTATATATCAGAGTCTGGCAAACAGCCATATGCCATTATTCCAAACAGCTCTATTGGAGGGAGGGGAAGGAGAAAGTCAGTGGAAGCCACAATCTTTAATTTTAAGTACTAACCTGCTTTAGTGTGGCATTATCTCTAAGTGGTTGTGTTCTTGGACTGACCTCGTTACCAGAAACTATAAAGCAGGAAGTTCTAGATAGCCAGTGCTACTGCTTGTTGCTTTGGTTCCAGGTGTATGTCTCTTGTCAGTCCAGCTAAGCCACAGAAAAGCTTATTGTAATTAAGTAGCAATTTGTTTCCATGAAACTGCAATTAAAGTATGACTGAGCAGCCATTTTAGATTGGCAGTGCTTTGAATGCATGTTAAACAGTGAGCAGCTCTCATTTTCTCTCTGTAGAGTCTGAGCTCTGAATAACAGTGAAGTATAACATGCTCACCTATGTCCCTTGTCAAGTTAAAAGAATCCGAGTCCTCACTGAAGCACTCTGATCTCATTGTGAACATGCTGAGAGCAATGACAAGTCAGGGCTGATCTTTGGAAGTTGAACTTTAAACTTTAGGTACTGTAAGTTGCATTACTATGTTCTGTTCTTGTATAAGCAAGGATGTGTACATTTCCTACAGGGAATGTTTTCAACTTCAGATTGATTCTGTTGAGAATGAACTGCAAGTAGGGGGAGGGTCAAGCCAATAATGTACTAGAGGTCCTGACTTGTTAGAGCTGTGTAAACAGGGTTACTGTATCTCCATAATTGCAACTAATAAAAGGCTAGAACAAAATGCAAATTGTGTTTATAAATTGTTTTAATGAACCCAGAAATTTATTTAGAATGGTCATTATTTGCACACTTCTACAACAGGCAAGGCTGATTTAAGTGACCAAGATACCATCTTTTTTTGTCCACACCCCTCTGTTCCCTTGCTAGCCTTAAACTGTAGTGTTCCCAGGAAACCACACAGTCAGATTATCAAAACCTATTGGCAAAGGTACTAAATGCTGGGCTCTACCTCTCTACTAGTAGGTGGCCTTTAAAAATGAGATGCAAAGTTTTTGGTACAAAAAGGTTTTAATTTGTAAGAACTCCAAAGAGGAATGAACTTTATAGCTATTAATTACATTTCAGAACCATCACTACATTGGTTCCTGTGCTTGTGGCAATGACATCACAACCGCGATGTGCATCAGGTGAGAGCCATTTTATGCTAAGCCACATTTTTTCGCTGTCTCAAAAATGTTCCTTGCGGGGCTGAAATTTAGGCTTTGATCCTATGTTGTGATCCACAAGGGCAGATTACTGCACCCAGGCAGGCCGCCACTGAAACTAATATGACTCTGTGTGGGCACAGCAATCCACCTGCATGGACCACAAGGCAGTTCTGGGGTCTTAGCCTCTGCCCAGCAGTGAATTTTTTGGAAGATGTTAAAAAATAATCGGTTGGACTGAGTAATAAGTACGGAGAATTTTTTTTTCCATGTGTATATCTTAGGTTAGTTTTTAAACATTTAGTTTTATCATTAACTAAGTTCTCAGATGTGCCTTTGAACTACCAGAGGGAATGTGGGCTAATGGACACAGGGTCCAAGACTGGCATGCGGCACACATACGTCCTATTCCAGCACAGCCACTGACCTGCTGTGGGTATGCCTACACTGCACCAGGGTGCAAGCTGCCAGCCCATGGTTGAGCTAGCATCCTAAAAAATCACAGCCCAGCTGTTGAGGTTCTGGTGGCAGCTTGGGCTCTGAAGCCCCGCCTGGCTCTGGTTTCTACCCTGAGCCTCTGCCAGAGCTGCAATGGCCACACTGCTATTTTCAGCATGCTAGTGTGAGCCAAGCTAGTGCAGGTCTGTCTACCCAGGCCGGGAGGCTCACTCCTCGCTGCAGTGTAGACATACCCTGTGCGACCTTGGCCTAATTGTTACGCCTTTCGGTGCCCCTGTTTCCTCTTCTAACCTTTATATGTGTCTGTACAGCATCTAGCACAACTGGGCCCTGATCTCTCTTGGGGCCTCTAAGTGTTACTATAATACAAATAATAATCTGAAGAAATTTGGTGATTGGAAAATGCTTTACAGGCCATGCCTGATACCTATTCATTTTTTCTGTTACTGAGACTCCACTAAGGACCCCATCTTTGCAATAATTTAAAAAATGTGAGTTGTCCTGTTAATGGGTCAACTCAAGTGAGACAAGTTACTCGTGCTTAAATATCTGCCCGATATTTCAGATGAGCTCATAGAATCATAGAATATCAAGGTTGGAAGGGACCTCAGGAGGTCATCTAGTCCAACCCCTGCTCATCTACCATCTAAGCACCAGAATTAGTGGTGAGACTTTCCAAAGTGCTCAGTACATTGGGTGCTGAGTTGTTTTGAAA